TTGAACACAGGGCTAGATGGTGTTAGCATTTCTGTCTGATGGGCTCTTGCTTTATTACCCAGCATCTGGGCCCAGTGTTGGTGCCACTGGCTAGGAGGAGGTGAACTCAAAGGAACCAAGAACTAGGCCAAAGCCCTAAGCCTGAGCCCCTGTGATGTCCACCTGCCTCTGCCGTCTTTCCCCTTCTCCGCTAAGAGCACCCGAGTTGAAACCCGAACTGACCCCAGGACGTGTCACCTCCCAGGGGCCCACCTTGAGGACAACACGTCTTGCTTTCTCCTTCAGCTCAAATCTTCCATCTGCTACTTGGAAGAGGCACTTTTTTTTTTTTTTTTTTTTTTTGAGATGGAGTCTCGCTCTGTCGCCCAGGCTGGAGTGCAGTGGTGCGATCTCGGCTCACTGTAAGCTCTGCCTTCAAGGTTCAAGTGACTCTCCTGCCTCAGTTTCCACAGTAGATGTGACAGGCAGGCACTACCACGCCTGGCTGATTTTTTTTGTACTTTTCTTTTTTTTTTTTTTTTTAAGTAGAGATGGGGTTTCACAATGTTGGCCAGGCTGGTCTTGAACTCCCGACCTCAGGTGATCCACCTGCCTTGGCCTCCCAAAGCACTGGGATTACAGGCATGAACCACCACACCTGGCCACTGGAACAGGCATTTTTTAAGAATGGAAAAAAATGCCTGGCATGACTTTCACTTTTCCATACAGAGTGGATGTTTTAACTAAAGACAACAAGAAACATAGCATACAAAAGAGAAAAACTCATACAAAAGGGAGGGAGAAAAAGAATGAAGGGAGGATCCTGAAGAAGTTGCTACTTCAGAGGCATCTGTGCCCAGATAAAGGATTTGTACACTCCTTAGGGTGCACAGTTCTCTCTCATGCCACGTCTCTTGGTCTTACCCAATCATGTGAAAAGAATCTATACTTGAATTCTAAAGGAAGATGGGGAACAAGGTCTCGGGTTGGTTTGTTCTGCCTCAGTAACTTCAGCCTTCCTGTTTCAGGGATAACCATCATCACACTGAAATGCTCATGCCATAAAAGAATGAAGACCAGGGCATGTGATATAAAACTGTAGACTCCTATGACATGAGCAAAAACAATGAGTTCTGGGCCACAGAAACCCTGAGGCAGTGGTTTTCCATCAGGGGAAACCTTGCCCCTCCTCCCTGCACAGAGTTGGCAATGTCTGGAAACACTTATGGCTGTTACAACTGGGCAGGTGCAGCTGGCATCTACTGGGTAGAGACCAACGGTACTGCCAATGCTACAACACACAGGACACCCCCCACGTAAGAATTATCCTGCCCAAGTTGTCAATAGTGCCAAGGTTGAGAAGCTCTGACCCCAGGCTAAGGTATAACTGGACCATAAACCTCTTAAGGACAGAAACCAGGTCCTGTACCCCTTTTCTAAGCACAGTCGAGGAAAATAGCAGGGTTAAGTTAAATGATTCAGTCCCAATTGTCCCAACCTGGCTAAACTTCAAATCTTTCCCCAAAGTCCATGTAATTTCTCTCATAGGGAATTGTTTTCATTTTTACATTTTAATTATTTAAGAGGCAGGGTCTCACTCTGTCACCCAAGCTGGAGTGCAGTGGTGTGATCGTGGCTCACTGCAGCCGCAAACTCTTGGGCTACTGCGATCCTCCCGCCTCAGCCTCCCAAAGTGCTGGGATTACAAGCATGAGCCACCATACCCGGTCATCCTAGACGAGTTTTTAAGCGTCACTTTTCTCCTGGCAGAATTTTCTGACTCTATAGTTGTTATCTTCCAGAGAAAGCCCTGAGTAAGCCAGACCCTATTTACAAACATGCCTCAGTGGATGAGGCTACAATTTGAGTCCAAACTGCTCACGGTTCACACGGACAAAGTCTCACACCATAAACCTGAAACATCATGTTATGGTCTGAGGCCCGCTCCGAGCTGGGTGAGAGGGGCCTCGGGAATGCAGCCCCCTGGGCAGATGAGGTTCGGGCCTCCACCCCTGTGGGGCTGCCTCCTCATTTCTCCTTGGAAAGCAGCCCTACTTGCTGCCTGTGCCTTTGGGAAGCGAGAGGGAGGGGAGAATTCTGGCCAAGCTTCTATAATCAGCCTCTAAATGGACAGGTTTTCCTTGGACTGCCACAGAGTCTCACTCAGAGGAGAAAGCTGGTCCCAGCCTGAGCTTGTGGAAGCACCAGCTCTGGGCAAGCCATGCAGGAAAAGCAGGGGCAACGCTGCATTTGGGCTTTGATCTTGATGTCCTAAGCTGGGAGCTGGTCTCCAGACTTCTTCTTAGAGGCCCCTCAAGCTCCCCCATCCAGACTGGGAGAATCTACTGAAGCGCTTGGCTACAAACTTGCCCGAACTGTCCCACTACCAGCAGCTGCTTAGACACAAGCTGGTCTAAGAAGATGGCTAATTATCCCCAGTGCCACAGTCCATCATTACAAGTGGGGGTTACTTTTGGATGTCAGAGTCAAGTTCCTGCCCGGTTTCTTCTGATCCTCTGTAACTGCCCTCAAACACTGTCCCTGCAATGTAAAGTCAGGATGGGCAGTTGTTAGTGTCCACTTAACCATCACAACATATTAGCACTGAAAGGACATTAGATCACCTAATCCAACCTGGCTTGCTTTTTTTTTTTTTTTTTTTTTTTTTTTTTGAGATGGAGTCTCACTCTGTCACCCAGGCTGGAGTACAGTGGCATGATCTTGGCTCACTGCAACCTCCGCCTCCCGGTTTCAAGCGAGTCTCCTGCCTCAGCCTCCTGAGTCGCTGGGATTACCTGGCAATTTATGGCTGAGGAAACCAAGGCCAAAGAAGGGACATGATTTGTCCATAGCATGCAGCCAGGAGGAAACAAAGCCAGGCCTTGAACCTAGGCCTCCTGACTATAAGGAGAGTTTGCGCCACCCCTTCCCTGGGTGT